CTTGGTTTGGCAGTAGCAGGCTTGGACGCAGGAGGCGCTTCTTTAACAGAACTAGCAGGAACCTTTTGTTTTAAATATATCAAAAAAAAACTATACGTGTTAAGAAACGGCTGACAAATTGTACTTCTATATCTACATATGTATATGGATATCTTACAGGCTTTGGCGATGAAGATGTTTTCGGCTGGACATCAGATTCTGTGGAAATAATCGAAAATAAAAATTCTCTCTCACAATTCAATTATTAAAAACTTACGCTTTGTAGATGGTTTTTCTGCTCCGCCGAACCAGCCAGTCACAGTAGATGTGGCACTTTCCACCGTTTTGGAGACATTATCGAATTGTTTTCTCACTCCATCAAATTGTTTGTTGATGTCTGCAATTGGGTCTTGGGAATCTAAAGCTACTTTGAGAACGTATTCTGCCCCAGGAACGTTTTGTTCAACTTGTTTTCGAAATTTCGGATCATATCTAAACAGATTATTTTGTAAAATAGTGNGGGGCGACAGAAATACCAAAACTTTGCCGAACCCAGCTTGTCGTACGTTCGGGGGCAAACCATTGCTATAATTTTTGCGGCTGTACTGGCTCAATGTAATCTAAAATTAACAATAATAAATGTAATTTATTTTCTCTTTTTTATTAGTGTATAAAATGGAACAATGTTAGTAAAAGGGTCTACAGTAAACAATGTTGTGTGTACTTTGTTGAAGAAGGAGGAAGCCAAACGTACATGTTAGGAGTAAGACTATTTGTTATGACATCAAAGTATATATTGCATGAGTGAACTCCAGAAGCAATATAGATCAGAATGGAAACAATTTTATCAAATTACATTTCTTTTCTGGATAATTTTCTGCAGAGTTATTGAAGGTTGCATTTATAGATGACATAACAATTTGCCTGCCTATATTGGGTGGTGGGGAAAGAGGCGATCATTTGCTGTGCGTTTTTTAAGTGACAGCGGTGGTGGTGCCTCGCGCACCGATGTGATGACGGCATGATAGCCAAATATA